TTCCAGAAGAAAAAAAATAAGTTCCCTACCTGGAATATTCTCTTTTGGAAGTCAACAGTATCTTAACACTCATTGAAAGAGTTACCCTCAATATTCCAAAAAGCATTTATTTCAAAAAGCTATGTTAAAAAATGCTAATCAAAAATGCTAATCTGTCCTGAGTGACAAGTGACCCTACATTCCATTTTTGAATGGAAGAAAAAGATCAGAAGATTTAAAATGATAAAACATAATACTTTAAAAAAAGTATTATTTTAGCAAGAGATACTTCTCCCACATTTGTCACATTGCTGAATATGTTTGCTTCATAAAGCACACATCTCTTAATCTATTTTGGGAACATTTATGTACCATAAAGATACATATCCATGGTTGTTCAAATATTAAGTATACCTGCTTAATGCATAATAAAAAATATGCAAATTGATAGGAAAATATTTTTTGACACAATATAGCAGCACAGGAACTTTGTAACATTCAAATTTTTACTATGAATTAATATGTGGTGCTGAAAAGGATACTTAGTTTAACATTTTACAGTAGCAACTTATTTATCATCAGCAAAATATGTGGCTGCAATGTGATATAAATCTGGATAAACATGAATTTGGACATCTACTATTCCAAGCTCTAGGCTTTCTTATGTGTAAGTCGAGCTAAAATTCTTTAAATAAAAAGATGTAAGATCAACAATTTGCATGAATTCTTACATATATATCTGTTTCAAATTGTAAGACATTAATCCCTTCAAATGCTCCTCCAGACTTCTCTGTCTCTGTGACTTTACATTTTAAGAGACTCATTTGATTTCTGTATCTAAATTTCCAGTTAAGAAATTATATTAAGGTAATATGCTTTTCATAAATTGAATGATCAAAGTCTTTACTGAATTATTGCTGCTAACATTACAGAAATTATACTTTAATCCTAAAGCTGCCTTTTTAGCAAAGCATTTTAAAACATTATGCCATTAATAGTAGATGAGTAAGAAAATTACATTTTTCAAAAATGTTATGGAAATCTGTTTCCTCAAATTATTTTTAATTAGAAAATAATTTTTAAAAGTGCAAAATGAGAAAATTAAAATAAATAGATATTTTATGGCTTGCAGAAAGAGATACTAAAATGATGCTCATTTTATGCAAATGCTATAGCAGATGTAAATATTGAGTAGATTTGGGTCTGCTGAAAACTGTGCTTATATCTACCTCTTCCACTAGACATACAACTCCTCCAAGGCAACTATGGGTCTATCAATCCTTTAACATCAGAACCTTTAACACACTGTTCAGCACAGCTAAGTCTGTGAGTGTTAGATGTTTTGTTGAAGCATAGACACACAGGTATGTTCAGAATTCATCACTTAAACCTAAATAACTTGCTATTATTGGAAATGAATTAAGCAAAGTGCACTCCAGATTAGATTGGGGACAATAATCACATAAATTCAGTACATATAGGAGGACAGCTTTCCCACCACAGACCCAAAGCCAAAAAAGAGGAGTCAGGAAATCTCATCAGGAAGATATAGGAGAAAAAACATTGAAATAAAGTTATTAATCACGTACCACTAACCTCAGATAAATCAGAATTATTTTATGTATCCATTTCCCAATATGCTAAATGGAGAACACAATGCACTATTTCCAAAAGTAATAAAGAATTCAGAGGACTCTATCTTCTTATTCCTGTATATTACTAGTGTAGAATAGGAAACCTAGAAAATGCTTTCTGAACAATTACATTTCAATCCAAATTTTCATACTATCTTATAGCCAGTTTTTTCACCTCATAAAATAAATCCTGAACACATGATTGTTTTACTATGTTTAATAAGATACTAGGTCATGGATAACTTTTATTTTCTTTTCTGAGACAGAGTCTCACTCTGTCACCCAGGCTGGAGTGCAGTGGTGTGATCTCTGCTCACGGTAACCTCTGCCTCCCAAGTTCAAGCGATTCTTCTGCCTCAGTCTGGGACTACAGGTGTGTGCCACCACGCCTGGCTAATTTTTGTATTTTTCGTAGAGACCGGTGTTCCACTATGTTGGCCTGGCTGGCCTCAAATTCCTGACCTCATGATCCACCTGCCTCAGCCTCCCAAAAAGCTGGGATTACAGGCATGAGCCACTGTGCCCGGCCCATGGATAACCCCTTTCCTTTCACTTACCAATACATTATGGAATCTTTGTCAGTGAAAATATCTATACTAATTGAATCATTTCTTAGTATCCCACTGTATGTATATACAATCTTTTATTCTTTTCTATTATTGGACACTTAGGTTTCCAAGTTTTTGTTATAAACAATACTGTGTAGAACCGTATCATAAAAACATATTTGTGCACTGATGCAGTCAATCCCTCAGAAAATATTCCCAGATACTGTCAAAGGGTATGAACCTTTGTAAGGCTTCTGATTAATACTGTTTACCTGTCCTCAAGACTTAAACTCTCATAAGCTGTTATCTCAGAATGTTTCCTTCTCACATCAATGATAATACCTATTAATATTTAAAATCTATGCAGACAGGTGAACAGTATTCTACTTCTTAATCAGCATGTAACTGATTATTTATTTAAACTTGCCAGCTCTTCTATTTTGTTTGCACAAGTCTTTGATTGATATTATCTACTGATTGTTTTTTCCTGGGCTTTGAAAATGTCCTTTATGAATTAAAGGTGTTTGTCATACATTTGTTTGACTTGTAACTATTTACGGTTTTTGCAATACCAAATTTTGATGATTTGGAAAAGAAGCAAAGGTGTGCCTCCTTTTGCTTTCTTCTTTTGCACTGCTAAGTGCAGAACCAGTGACAACAGCGTACATATCTTATTCCTGTCTATAGTGAGAAGGATTCTAGCATTTCTCTACTAAGTATGATGTGTGAGACAGTAAAATAGGAGGGGATAAGATGGAGAGAAAACATTTTCTTTGCATGATAAAAACTAACCTAAAAAACAAATTAGAGATCAATTTTTGAATTTTGTCAAGTGCTTTGTACATCCAAAGAGCTAGTGACATGGTTCTTCTCTTTTGGTGTATTCACAGTAAATATAAGTAAATATTACTCAGTACTTAATTCTTAGAATAAACTCTTGTCATAGTGAATTATTCTCTTACTTATGCAACCTACAAAGTAGTGCACAGAAGCAGAAAACACAAATTAAAAGTACAGATTAGAAAGCCAAAACTTCTAGAATCTTAAGTCTTGGCTATATTTGCTATTTGTGTAACCTAGGACAAGTGACCTGATGTCCCTATGCCTGAGTTGCCTCATTTACAGAATGGAGACAAAAATGATATACCTGCCTCATAGGTTTATTGTGAAAACAGGATAATGTATTGGCAAACAGGCATTAACACTAATTATAATTCTCCTTACTATACTAATGCATTTGATACTAATTTTATTCGTGACTTTATCATTAAATTTGTGTTAATTTGATATCTGGGTTGTTAGCTTTTAAAAACTTTGGGAAGCTTTCCTTCAGTACTCTGGGAAAAGTAGTATTTTATAAAAATTAATATATTTGTAAAGTGCTGCTTGTTATAATCAGCAAAGTAACCTACAACATTTTCAGGGAGGAGAGAAAACTGAAGATGATGGAAGGAGTGAGTAGAGGACAGGGGAGCTACTATCTAGCAAGCCGTTTTTGTCATTGTGATGTGGGTCACTAGACTTGATACAAGATGCTGACCTAACACCAAATATGCCTCTCCTACCTCTCTGATGCCTATCTGAGCAGATGTTAGAAGTGTGTGCCCACTAGCTTTAATTATGGCCATTCTGGGAGAGTAAGTCTCACAGTATGCTTTTGATTATCACTACCTCCCCAGCATTTTAACTGAAATGAACATCAAGTCTAACAGAATGCCAGAAAAGGAAGAAGTACACAGAATAATCCTGGATACTGTCTCCAAGTATCCAGATTAGGGAGTTAAATTTAAACCTAGAGTTGAGAATAGATATAACAACTCCAAGTTTTCAATAATCAATTGTTAAATTTGCCATAATTTTTTCCTCTCCGTTCACTTTTATACCACATTTAACTCTTAGGAGGTCATTTGGAGGATTTTTGCATACAGCAAAATAGTAATACTCCAAATTTATCCAAATTATGGCATTTTTCTTTTGAGATAGGATTTAGCTACTTTTGTTTATCCTATATTTGGAGCATTACTATTACGGGAAATTTTCATTCTTGAGACAAATGTAGGTTCTTTGTTAAAATTATACTGTATTCATTGAAAAAGTACTGCTACAGGAGTAACCTATGAAAATTAAGGTAGTAATGACTGCTAATCACTGCCATTTATAGAGCACTGTGTGACAGGGATATGGCAAGTCATGTTTATTGCATCACCTAATGCCCCTACACTTTATAAGGTAGGTACTTCTGTATCTTTCTTTTAACATATGAAGAAACTGAAGCTCAAAAAGGTCAAGTCACTTACCAAAGATCCTGAGGCTAGGATTATAAGTTTCAAAGGCCATTCCTTTACTATTTTCAGTCAAATGAATGACTGAAATTCAGTCATCCAATTAAATACAGAACTACATTCTTTTAAATATTATGTGAAGCACTGATAATGGGAAACTATTTTTAAAATATACCATTATAAAGAATAACAACCATTCTGGAAAGTGGGTTAAACTGAAAAAGAGAGCCTAAAAGGAATGTTAACTTTAAGTATAAAGTCTGTCATCAAAATAAGTACCAATATAACTTCATGTGGATTATTTGTAAAGGAATCATAATTTCTTTATTAGATACAATGACTTCACCCCAGATTTATTGAATCTTTTAAAAATAATAAAAATACTTTTATTAAACACTTCTATTGATCATGTTTAGGTAAAATACCTTGTTGAGTTTGTAAACCCAAATACCAGTGACTTTGTGACAAAAATGAGAAAATAATTTGAATCTACCTTCATTGTCCACACACACTGAAATGCAAAATGCACACCAGAGACATAAACTGCATGTTTGGGCTTCACAGAAAACAATATGAGGTTGACACACACAATCTTAAAAATGTCACCCTTACATATTAGGATTACAAATCAGCATATTACATAATAGACTTTACATTCATGTTTTATAGTGTATTTCCAAAACTTGTAACTATTTCAGATAAATTCAATAATTTTATATTTTACTTTAGCTAATGAGAAATGAAAATTATTATATAAGAGTTTGACATTACTTAAAGCTGACTTTCATATTTAGGACATAGTAAATTTGAAAGGAACACTTAAAATAAAATATTAAAGGTAGACGTTATGTGTTTATAAAATGAAATCAATTAAAATTGACTGGAAGGCTGGAAAAAGTACCCTTAATAGCCATCTTTAAAAAAATTTGCATTTCCCATTTCTTTCATTTGAAAAGATTGTCACATAGATGAGACATTTAGAGTAGATATGTATTGCTTCCAATGTTTTCCTAGAAAAGGGTTTTATGTATCAGATACTCAAGGTAAAAAATAAATTTAATCTACTTTTAATATTTAGGTTACACCTCAAACTAATCTGACAGATCTTAGTTTTTATAAGGCAAAACTGCTAATATGAAAGCTCTTAAAATTCTTCAGTTTATTTCTCCAAAATCTAAAAAATAAAATTAGATTTACTCTTTTAAACACAGCTTCAACTACAAGCTTCCTAGTTCAGTCCCTCTGCATATGGCAGATGACAGAGAAGCATCCTGTAAATCCTTGGTATTTCTCTTACAACTCTCTAGCTATGAAATCAGAAAAAGTAAATTTTAAATAAAGTCCCTGACTTAGCTCCAGTAACACGTACATTTAAAAACTTACATCTAAAGTGACCCTATTTTCCCAACACCTCCTAGTCTACCTTGGAAAGAACAAAGAATGTTATTCCTAATCAGGAGGGAATTTGACAGTACAGAAACACTGACATAGATTATGCTAAATGGTTAGTTACATATAATCTTACATAGACTTTGTATTCAGTAAAATATTCTCGGATGATGAGGATAAGATGACAAATTAATATGGAGAAAAACCTTTGAAGACAAATTAAGACATTGGAAAGCAAAAGGTAGAAAGTGAAAATTTTATATGTTCACCTGAAATCGTACAGGTTTTTCTCTTCTGAAGAGAAAAAGTTGTAAGATAGATTCTTCATCTTGGCTTTTCTAGGAAGACAATGTCTATGCCAAAAGATTGCTTATCTTAAAATAAAAACATATGAAAGAAAGGCTCCTTTGAAAAAATATATATATTTATACATACACACATACACACACACACATGCATATGCATATATATAACATATATTAATAAAAATATTCTCCAGTATGGGATAGGGACTCTCCAATTCTAAAAGTAAAAATCTATAATTTTAAATCTATCTGAAAGAAATCTAAGCATAGCTGAACTTAAAATTATTGTCTGAATCACTGAATTATTCATTTTATTTTAAAAGTGCATGGATCTTATTGAAAGATATCCAATTTCAGCTTTGAAGATACAGGTTCAAGGTCTGTTCTTGGCTATTCCAGAAATTGTTGTAGAATGTTCATAATTTCAACATAAACTTATAAAGTTTTTCTAAAGTAGACTTTTCTACCTGCTGAACAGAACTCACATCTATACTCTGATGTTTATTTCAGCAGCATTTGTCTCTCTGAAGCACATCAAAATCACTCACACATCAAATTGCTGATCTGATAGAATGATTTATTTTCCCATTACAGGGAAGTCATGAATGACTTGTTCTGAGGTATGTTTCTGAGCTATGAAGGACACCTATTGGAAAGCTCCACACTTGAAGGTTTCTGTTAAGGTGATAACATTTTATGGCTGGACAGTCTCTGCAGGTACCAGATTCCCTGTTGTATCCAACTGCATACATTTACACGTGCATGCGGACACAGGGCACTCTGCGTGGTCCCTAAAAAAATAGGTCAAATAACAGTTAAAAATCCAAATTAGACATATACACATTTATTTATCTAAAAAAAATTTTTTTTAAGAGACAGGGTCTTGCTATATTGCCCAGGCTGGACTCACATGGCTGGACTCACACTCCTGAGCTCAAGCAATGCTCCTGTCTCAATCTACTGATTAGCTGGGACTATAGGCGTGCACACTGTTCCCACCTGTTTACTTAGATCTATCTATAATGCAACTTTTCAAAATGGCATTTGGGAAAATATAGAAACTAAAACCCAGAGGAAAAAAGCATCAAAAGCATCAAATTATAAATTACTGCCAAGCTGAACTTAAGGGAGAAGTTAAAAAATACATACCTTTTACTTTCTACATATATGGCAAGATATTTCATTTACAGTTGTGAAGGTGACAGGGATGTGCTCAGAGTTTAAATTAGCTAGTGAGACAAACTGGGTATAAATGCTATATCAATGAGGAGCACAGGGCCACTGGTACCATTAAAAATAAAATTCAGTTATGGTCTTGAGAGTTTCAATTGCATGACTATATAAAAAGCTTACTTAGAAGAGAACTGAGGCAGCAGTATGATATGCACTTTTATAATGTCATTATTAATTCAATCGCATGATAATTTACAGCATATTCAGTTGTAAAAAACTCTAAACACATCTTCTGTCCGAATAAAGTTAAATAATGTTATTCAAACATTTAACTCATGCAAAATATTTGAACTAGTTCTTATATAAGGATTACCTTTATAGTTTAAGGTTACATAGGATATCTAACGATGATATAAATGTTCATACCACCTTTGTTAACCCAAGTGACAGTAAAAATAAAATTCATACTTTGGCTAAATGTTAACAGATAAACCCAAACTATTTAGAAGCAATCTGTGTTATCTCTTGTAACTCCAAGCCTATAAAAGAAGAAATGTGCTGATTACCTGAACCAACTAAGCATATGTCCAGCATGCCCACCGTGCCTGCAATTGTGACACCATGTAAACCAGTTGTTAAACTGGGCTAGTTTTTTGTCCTTACTTAAGTCAACTTTTTCATCTGATTTGGTTCCTCCTATGAGAAAAGAAAATGATCTTCATTAACTGCATCACAATATTTTATTTAAAGTTACTTTCAAAAGGCATTTTTAAAACTATCTTCAAAATATGAATCACATATCATATTGAAATACCAATTTTGATGTTAGGTTCTAGTTTAGATGGAGTGAAACTGAATGACAGGAGCTTCCCTACATTTTTAATAGCCAATACAAAAATGGAAAAATATAAATTATCAAAACCCACTAAGAAACAATCTAACTTTAACACTTTGGGGAGACCAAATCAGTAGTTTAAAATCTTTCCACAAGGAAAATACCAGGCCCAGTTTACAAGTGAATTTTACCTAACATTCAAGGAACAGGTAGGACTGGGCATGGTGGTTCGTGCCTGTAATCCCAGCACTTTGGGAGGCTGAGGTGGACAGACTACTTGAGGCTAGGAGTTGGAGACCAGCCTGGCCAATATAGCAAAACCCCGTCTCTGCTAAAAATACAAAAATTAGCCGGGGGTGGTGACACATGCCTGTAGTCCCAGCTCCTTGGGAGGCTGAGGCACAAAAATTGCCAAAACCTAGGAATTGGAGGCTGCAGTGAGCCGAGAGAGTGCTGCTGCACTTCAGGTTGGGTGACAGAGCAAGACTGTCTCAAAAAAGAAGACAGACAATCAAGGGACAGGTAATTCGCATCTGTACAAGGCCTTTCAAAGAAGGAAAAAAACAGGAAAAGTTTCCCAATGCACTTCATGAGACTTGAGTAACTTAAGCAATTGCTTAATTAGACTTAATATTTTTACTTAATTGCTATCTATTAAGACATTATGCATAGATAACTATGTTCAAAATTTTGTTTGGACCATTGCAGGTCACACTTTCAGGATCAAAAAGATAATCTTGCAGTCGGGAATAGTTTTAAAAAATATCTGTTTTTGCTAATAATATGAGGTGAAAGGATGTATAAGTAGTTCGATGATTTAAGATGTAAACACACTAAATTTATTCCAGAAAGGGTCACCAAAGATTAATAATGAGAAGGCAAAAAGGAAAGGGGGAAGAGAAAAATAAAATATAGATCTGATATGGACACTACTTTATATCTTTGTGTAAAGCTCTCTTTAGTGCTTGTCATTTTGTTTTTGTGACTTCTAACATAAACAGAAAACAGACTGAAACCAAACAAGCATATCCTTATATTTTTCTGATAAAGCTGGAAATATTAAGATCTACCTCACTGCCAAGTATAAAGGCTTTTTTAAGATCAAATGACTTTAAATTTTAAAAGATTCATAGTGAATTATGAAGACAAGTGCCACAGAACACTTTAGAGGAAACTAGAGTTTCACTTGTGTACTAACTCATAATGTGAGAAGAAAATGAAGGAAACCAGTACATAATCTAACTTTAAAAAAATGTGTCATTGTCCAAAAATTAAGTTCTGTAAGGACAGGGATTTTTGTTTTGTTTACTATAACATTTCTAGCACTTGGAACACTAGGTACCAAATACAATTTGTTTAATAAATAATATTTATAATGTTTATAATGATGTTAGAACTGTTTTGAGTTCTAATCTTCAAAGCACAATTGAGTATAAAAATATCAAGTCTCGGCCGGGCACGGTGGCTCAAGCCTGTAATCCCAGCACTTTGGGAGGCCGAGGCAGGTGGATCACGAGGCCAAGAGATCGAGACCATCCTGGTCAACATGGTGAAACACCGTCTCTACTAAAAATACAAAACATTAGCTGGGCATGGTGGTGCGTGCCTGTAATCCCGGCTACTCAGGAGGCTGAGGCAGGAGAATTGCCTGAACCCAGGAGGCGGAGGTTGCGGTGAGCCGAGATCGCGCCATTGCACTCCAGCCTGGGTAACAAGAGTGAAACTCCGTCTCAAAAAAAAAAAAAAAAAAAAAAAAAAAAAAAAAAAAAAAAAAAAAAAAAAAAAAAAAAAAAAAAAAAAAAAAAAAAAAAAAAAAAAAAAAAATATATATATATATATATATATATATATAAAGTCTTAGTTAAATAAACTTATAGAAATTCTAGCTATTTGAATCACAAAGCATAATGGATGGATGTAATCTCTGACTGCAAGCAAAGCACCAGGGAGGTTTAGATACTCAAGCCATTAGCCAGCACTTGATTTCTCTTAGATACTGTTTTATTTTGGAACTAGGACTCTTCCGATTTCACATATCAAAAAAAAAAAAAATGCTTCCTTAACTTTTCTTTAGTTTCAGGGTACATGTGCAGGTTTGTTATACAGGTAAATTGCGTATCATGGGGGTTTTGGCATACAGACTGTCATCCAGGTAATAAACATAGTACCTGATAGGTAGTTTTTTGATTTCAATCCTCCTCCAACCTTCCACCCTCCAGTAAGCCCTGGTGACTGTTATTCCTTCTTTATGACCATATGTACTAAATCTTTAGCTCCTACTTATAAAGTGATAAAATGTGGTATTTAGTTTTCTATTCCTGTGTTAGTTTGCTTAGAATAACGTCTCTAGCTCTATCTATGCTGCTGCAAGGGACATGGCTGCATAGTATTGCATGGTGTATATGTACCACATTTCCTTTATGCAGTCCACCACTGATGGGCATTATAGTTGACTCTATGTCTTTGCTATTGGAAGTAGTGCTTATTATTCTCTAAGTTAGCTCAGCAATGCCTTTAAAGATCATACTCAGGCTCTCCCTAATTTTCCTACTGTTCATATCAGTCCACTTCCTAGGTCCTTTCACACCGATGTACTTGCTCTTCCCATACGCTCCCTGTACTTATCATACTTACCAGTCTCTTCACCCTAGTTTGTTTTTTACTCTCAGTCTACAACCTGGAAGGCTTCCCTGCAATCTTCATATATTAAATCTTGCAAACTTTAAAGGACGGGCTTAAATGGTAACTTCTTCCTGAAGCTCTCCAGTTATCTTCAGATAGAAGTAATGTTTCCCACTTTGAAAATTCCTAATTCTTTCCTTATATAATAGTCCTAATTCATGTTGGAGGTTTAGATGTGTTTCAGAATGCAGAATGTTTTGGGATTTTAGAAAAATAATAAAGAGCAAATATGTACACTTCAAGGGAAGTCTGAAACACCCTGTAATCCAACTTGTTAATATTTCTGCAGTGAAACATAAATATTCACAAATAAATAAGAGAAATAAATATCTTAATAGCCTCACATCAATTCTGAACAGGTTTTGTGGCCAAATGAAATTACTGTCATTTCATTTTTAAAAGGCATAGGATTTTCAGAACTTTTTAGAGACTTTGAAATGACAGATAAGGAATTGTAGACCAGTATTTATTTTCTAGAAAATATCACCAATTTTATATTCATTATCTATGTTTATTGTATAGCATAAGCTCCAAGAGGTTCTCTGATTTATTCATCTTAGCATCTCAGCCTTATCTTAATGTATCAAGTAAAATCAGTGCTCAAAGAAGTATTATATATAAAGAAATTATTTCTGAAGCAAATATGGAAAAAAATTCTATAACAAATATTGAAAAATGTTAATATTTGACAAACCTGAGTGCTGACTATTCATTACATTAGTCATCATAACAAAGAGTTTGAAATGTTTTAAGATTTTTCTTCAAATTCTAGGAAATCATTTTCTCTTCTAACTTACCTCAAAAATAGAAAAGATTGAGAAGCTGATATCCAGCAAAAAGGAAGACTGCCCATGTATAAGAAGGCAAATAATCCTTATAGCTTCCTGAGGCTTATGGTCCAAAAAATGTGTTACATTTAATTATTTCTACATATCTCAGCTCACATATATATATGACTTATTTATGCTACATTTTACCTCCTTGTTCTCTCATTGTTGTAGATATTCCAAATTGTTATTTTCTGTTTATTAGGACCAGAGTAACATAAAAGAGTGATCAGTATGCAATGTATAAAATGAAAATCCTTGATTAAAATTTAAATCAAAACTACATTTAAAACATTAAGTATTGCTTTCATTTCTTTAAAAAAAAAAAAGCATCTAGATGGAAAAATAATTGCTAAACTAATGATACCAGCAAGTCTTTCATAAATGTTAATGTAATGATAAAGCAGGCTACTTAAATGAACAAGATAATACAGAAAATGAACAAGATGCAGAACAGAATTATAAAATGTCTGCACTAGAAAAGATCTCCAGTCCATAGGAAGGTGAAAGTAACTCTCAGTGTCACAGAGTGAATGTCACAGAGCTAGAATTAAAACAGACATTTTGACACTCTATCCAGTTCATTATTACCTATGTACCAAATACCCAAAATGATTTTAATTAAAAATTTTGGCTTGATATCATTTTCAAATTAGGTAAAGAGCTAGAATAATTCCAGCCAGCAGGTATAAGATAATATATTTGGTTATTTACTATTCTCAAAAATTTTTTATGTTTACTATAAAGAATAAAAAATAATCTTAATATTTCTAACCATTATAAAATATAGGCTGGGCATGGTGGCTCATGCCTATAATCCCAGCATTCTGAGAGGCTGAGGCAGGGGGATTGCTTGAGAGTTCAGGAGTTCAAGACCAGCCTGGGCAACAAGGTGAAACCCTGTGGTCCCAGCTACTTGGGAGGCTGAGGTGGGAGGATCATCTGAGCCTAGGAGGCAGGAGGCAGAAGGCAGAGGTTTCTGTGAGCCAAGATCACGCCACTGCATTCTATCCTGCACAACGTAGTGAGATCCTGTCTCAAAAACAAAACAAACAAAACAAAACAAAAAAACACTATATATACATAAAATTTACTAGGTAACTGACAAACAGCATCAAAACCTAGAAGTCAAGGGACCTGACTTCACTTCTAGGTTAATACTTTCTGTATGTATTTTCTTATTATTTTTTAATTATTATTATTATTTTTTTGGAGATGAAGTCTTGCTTTGTGGCCCAGAATGGAGTGCACTGGCGTGATGTTGGGTCACCGCAACCTCCACCTCCCTGGTTCAAGTGATTCTCCTGAGTAGCTGGGACTACAGGTGCGTGCCACCACGCCTTGGTAATTTTTTGTATTTTTACTAGAGACGGGGTTTCACCTTGTGAGCGAGGATGGTCTAGATCTCCTGACCTCGTGATCCGCCCACCTTGGCCTCCCAAAGTGCTGCGCTTATAGGCATGAGCCACTGTGCCTGACCAAAAAACTTTTTTATAGAGATGGGGTCTCACTTTTTTGCCCAGGCTGGTCTCAAACACCCAGGCTCAAGTAATCCTTCTGCCCCGGCCTCTCAAAGTGCTGGGATTACAGACATGATCCACTGCACCTTACCCTTCTGTATGTATTTTACAGGTAGGTTGTGAAGATGAAATAAGAAATGTCAAAGTGCTTTAATGATGTCAGAAGTTCCTTAGGAATACAAAGTATCTGTTAATAACGCGGGTAAACTGACTTTTAAATAACCAAATTTGAACAAAATCCCCTTGAAACAGTGATAAGAAAATGCTAATATTTTAAGATTATTTCATATATAAGCTTTTCTCACAAACTTTAAATTGGTCAGAACTTGTGAAATTACCTAAAGCATCAATAGATATAGATTTTACTTTTAATGTACATATATCATAAAAACTATTTTGTAGAATTAGGTCATACCAGGACAGCTAGAAACTGGTGTTCCCATATTAATGAGACAAAGTGCACATCGAGGAAGGGGTTTTCGACAGCCAGGACAACTTGTGACTTTAGATTTCGTTGGTGAGCCACTCACACCATACTGACTAAAGCCTCTGCCCTGATGAGGCACAGCTGAACAGCTGTAGGAAATTGACTTGCCACAGAAATTGCAACTCACAAACACCTACAAAACAAATGAAAGAAGAAATAAATGTAATGCAAATCATAATGGAATGCTAAATAATTTAGTTTGGTCCTAACAAATTATTTTAAAATACTTTTTAAAAACTTTGTGTTTTGAAATTTATCTGCTAAGCTCGACTAGCTCTCATTTAAAATCTTTATTTAGCCAATACATTTTTTGGGTACTTCCTTGTTAATATATTTTTACTAATACCACTGAAATTAGTGGAAGAACTCAAACTTTATAGACTCCAACATTTTAGAGATAACGACTTCAGAATTTACACTAGGGCATTATAAAATATCTCAATATGACTTCTAAACCAAAGCTCAGAGATGTAATCTTCTGGACAAAATTCTCCTATAAAGAAAACACTGTTTCTAAGACTAAAAGGAGTTAACAATCTTACAATGGTAGTTAAATTTTTAGAATAATAGCAATAGCTGTTAATTTTGTTTTTACAGTAAAGTGCTAGACTCTAAATCACTTATCATATAGACTAGTAATACGTACTACCATGTAATGCTATTTTACCAATATTCTGGTTTTAATATAAGCACTTTCTCCAGTTCCTAAAGTAAGAAAATAGCACCATCCAGTGCTCATATTGAGGATAACCTAATATTTAATATCTGAACTAAGACATAGTGATTTAATGTGATATACCTTATGTGACAACAATCTCATTTTTTTAAACTAATGCTTAAAAAAAATTTCCATGTGTAATCACACATATAGATATAGGTAATACTGCTAAAGCCTGGAAACACCCAAACCTGACATACTGAACATATACTAGAAATATACTGGAAAACTTCAGGCCTGCTGTGGTTTGTTCTATCTCAGACTAAAGCTGAAGCCACTGAGATGATTGTTAGCAAGAAGCAGAACAAAAGGAAGATTAAGAACAAAGTTCAATCTAGAATAAAGGCTTCAACAGGAATTCAATATAAGCAAAATAATGAGCTAATAACTTATTAAATTGAACATCAACATATTACAATTTGATTTTCTCCAAAAGAATGTACTTACTTGTGCTAAAGGCTTGGAACTGGGATCCAACTTACTCCTGTGAATATCAAATTCAGCTCGTTTATGCCAAAACCTCCAGGCATCTAATAAATTTCTATAATTTTCAATCCAGTATTGAACCCTTTCATCTTTAAGAACATCTAAAGGTGAACCCTAAAACAAAAACATGAATTACTTCAATTGTTTAAAGTCTCCCGGCTGGGACAGAGACTTCTGGGTAGCATGTAAGTGTGAGTTACACACAAGAAATAGGCATCTCCCTCTCTCTCTCTCTTTTTTTTTTTTTTTGCCAAAAGCTGGCTCCTCAATGAGGATATAGAAAAAATTTATGGAATCTCCATTAATTTATCTCAAGTTGGGTTCCACTAATGACATAAATATGTACTTTATATATCATACCTGGTCAGGGAAGTGTAATTCGCTACCTTTTAGTTAAGTTTAAGAAAACAGAACTTTATGGTTAAATGATGAATACCCTTTGTCCCAGCAATTAAAAACCTCTAGGTTCACAAACTCTGTTTACTATTAAATCCAAATGTAATACAGGCTGGGCATGGTGGCTCAGGCCTGTAATCCCAGCACTTTGGAAGGCCAAGGTAGGCGGATCACTTGACATCAGGAGTTCAAGACCAGCCTTGCCAACAGGGTGAAACCCTGTCTCTAGTAAAAATACAAAAATTAGCCAGGTGTGTGGCAGGCGCCTATAATCCTAGTTAGTCATGAGGCTGATGCCTTAACCTGAAGGTGGAGGTTTCAGTGAGCCAAGATTGTGCCACTGCACTGCAGCCTAGGTGACAAAGTGAGACTCCATCTTAAAAAAAAAAAAATCCAAATGCACACCAAAACTGCTTAGTCACATTTGAACTAATAGCTTGGTCCTTCCTATCTAGCAATGCATGGTAAACTGAGATGCTGCTTTTCTGTTTATCTGTATGTTAAACCTGTCTATACTAATTCTTGCCCTCAATTAAAACATACATATTTTGCCTTGAAAATAATAAAACAAGAAAAAGCAAAACCAAATACCTTCTTAGGTCTTTTGACCCTAGCCAGTTAAAAGCAACACTTTGTTTTAGTTAAATTTAGAGTTCTTCTCATTAAGAACTTCAAGTTCTTGCCAGTAAGAATTTTCCTAAAGTTGTATTTTCCCCAGTAGCTGTGATATTCCAAATTTCATCTATGCCTGCTTTAGGTTTTCTTAAAAGACTTTTAGCCCTATCTAGGATCTCTTCCTTAATTTTACATGATGGAGAAAAGAGAAAAAGTGTCCACTTCTAATGATGCTTTGACATCAATCTGAAGCTCAGTTTTCTCAGTCCTACTTGAGAGACAAAAGTAAATTTCAGAGAGAACCTGGCATATATCTTACTTATGAAAAAAAAAAAAAAAAAGAACAAAAATCCATAACAGCTAATACAATCTTTAGACATCCAATCAAACACTAAAGCAGCCTATCTTAAATCTATTCAATTTGGTGTTAATTACCAGAGTTAAATTTAGCTAAAAGAACATATGAAACACTTAGCTTACAATTTCATTTCTTAAAAAATAGAGGTCTACTCTACCCCTAATTATGACCAACTGGGCAGAACTAAGTACCAAAGTAGCATATAATCCCAGGTTTAAAAAGAAAATTCACAGAAAAATAACATGTTTTCATATCTCATTCTTTCCCCTTATATGGCAGGAAGGAGATAAACTAAGAAAGAATTTGGTCAATATATATACAGTAAGTCTTTTCTAGATCCTCTCCAATAAAGCCTAATATCAAGCCCCATGATCTGTAAAGAAAACAGTTCAGAGATTGAGTCTGACCAAATTAGAAGGGCTTGGGAAAACAGTGTTTTGATTAGTGGAGACATAAGGAATCTGAACCGAGAAATGTAAACCAGGGGGCTCCAACCCTCAATATACCCCCGGGTACATGGCCTGGTACAAACTGGGTCACACAGCAGGAGGTGAATGGCAGGGCAATAAGCGAAGCTTCATCTGTATTTACTGCTGCTCCTCATTGCTCACATTATTGCCTGAGCTCTGCCTCCTGTCAGATCAGTGATGGCATTAGATTCTCATAGGAGAGTGAACCCTACTGTGAACTGCACATGTGAAGGATCTAGGCTGCATATTCCTTACGAAAACTGAATGCCTGATGATCTGTCACAGTCTCCCGTTCTTAGATGGGACCATCTAGTTGCAGGAAATAACCTCAGGGCTCCCACTGATTCTACATTATGGTAAGTTGTATAATTACTTCATTATGTATTACACTGTAATAATAATAGAAATAAAGTACATAAGAAAGACAATGTGTTTGAATCACCCCTAAACCAACCCCCGGGTGCTAAAAAGCCCCTGGTGCTAAAAGGTTGGGGACCACCGATGTAAACTATAACAAAGTTAAGATTCTGTAACTGAAAAGCAAAAATAATTGAAATGAACAATTCCCTGGAAAGTTTAACAGCAGACAGAGGTGATGGACGAGTCTATAAGTCAACAGAAATCAATGAATTTGGGCCAGGCACGGTGGCTCACGCCTGTAATCTGAACACTTTGGGAGGCCGAGGTGGGAAGATCACTTAAGGACAGGCATTTAAGACCAACATGACCAACATAATGAAACCATGCCTCTACTAAAAATACTAAAAATTAGCCAGGCAGGGTGGCATACGCCTGTAATCCCAGCTACTCGGGAGGCTGAGGCATGAGAATCACATGAATGCTTGAATCTGGGAGGCAGAGTTTGCAGTGAGCCAAGATTGTGCCACTGCACTGCAGCCTGGGTGACACAGTGAGACTCTGTCTTAAAAAAAAAAAAATTAACCAATTTGAAGAATACAGGGGGAAAAAAACATGGATGGAAAAAGAATAGAGCCTCAGGCACCTATGGACACTATAATGTGGTTTAATACATATGTAGTAAGAGTATTAAGAAAAATAAGTTTGAGGTACAAAAAAATATTTAAAGAAATATCATCCCTGAACTTCTCAAATCTGATGAAAAATAGACTTGCAGAGTCAAGAAGCTCAGTAAACCACAAACAGGATAAAAAGAACAACAACCAGGCATATTAAGGTCATACTACTGAAAAATCAAAGGCAAAAAAAAATCTTGGAAGAAACCCAAAGAGGCTGTCCTACATAAAAATAATAGAAAACATTTTATTGATGGTTGCAAGGCAAACAAGTTTACTTAAACATTAAAAATCAGGATTTAGGCTGGGTATTTTGGGAGGCTGAGGCGGGCGGACCGCTTGAGGTCAGGAGTTAAGACCAGCCTGGGCAACATGGTGAAAACTCATTTCTATCAAAAACACTAAAAATTAGCCAGAGGTGGTGGTATGAACCTGTGGTCCCAGCTACTTGGGAGGCTGAGGTGGGAGGATCGCCTAAGCCTGGAGGCTGCAGTGAGCCGAGATCCACCCCACCCTGGGTGGGTCTCAAAAAAAAAAAAAAAAAAAAACAATGCATAATGGAAACAAGCATAAGAACAGCTGACTTCTCATCAGAAACAACAGAGGCCAGAAGACAATTAAACTGTATCTTTAAAGTGTTGAAAGAAAAAGTAAGGGTGAAACAGACATTTTCAGTTATAATTTGAGAGAATCCGTCACCTATATTACAAGGAATACTATAGGATTTATAGAAAGGATAAAGAATGGCAGGAATGATAAATAAGTGAATAAATATAAAAGCCCATATTTTCTTTTCATAATTTACATAAAAGACAAATGACTTTAAAAAAAAACACTATATGTTGGCGTATATAATATCTGTAAAAGTAAAACATATGGCAATAGGACAAGGGAATGGATGTGTAAATGAAATCACACTCTTGTGACATTTGTGAAGCAGGAAGTAAAACCCAGAAAGAATCAATGCGATCTAAGAAAGGATAAAGTAGAAAGCATGTGTCAGGTGTGAAATGTGAAGTATGAGAAGGTAAAATGTTGACTTTGATGAGTTAAGAATGCTTATTGTTAGACCTAGGGCAACATTTAAAAAAAAATAATGAAAAGGGGTATAGTTAAAAAGCCGGTAGAGACAATGAATGAAACATGGAAATATTAACCCAAAATACAGTAGAAAAGGAACATAAGAACAAACGGAAAAAGGACAAACAAAACGGAAAACAAACAGCAAGATGGTAGACTTAACCTTGACCATACAAACGTAAATGAAGGAAACACTCCAATTAAAGGCAGCAATCATCAGACTGGATTTTTAAAAAGCAAGATCTGATTACGTATTGTATGCATTTTAAATATATTTTATAAATCTTGGTAAGAAGTTACCCATTTGCACTCTGTAGCTATCGATAGCCATATATATATATATACACACAGTTTAATTTAAAAGACATAATTGTATTTCAGTGAGAAAAAATGTTATAGAAGGATATTTTGTCTTCCATGGGCAGTGGTTTGATACATTAGGTAAGTTTACTTTGTGGTATGTTTGTGGGCCAGTATCTCTATATATGCACAAGAAGGTACAGTGGGAAAGGGGGCATTTTCCTGTGTTTACCCAGTACACAGTATGCTACCATACTGTGATATGAGGATGAGGGCAGGAAAGAGGAAAGTACCAACACCATGTAAGGATAAGATCAGCTGGAGGGCTACAGGAAATCTCAGGAGAATACTCTAAATTTTACCATATTTCCAGCAAAAGTAAAGTAGACAGCAACCTTTGCCTGGAATCTGTTTTTAATCACTGGACAGTAAAAACTGAGAAAATATAGATAAATTGTTTACCCCAAATCACCCCCATTGATAATAAAAAGAGAAAATGAAAGCTGAGAGCTGTGGTATATTGACTTCAGCACTCCAAGTGAGACTGTAGTTCAGATCAGGAAAAGGCAATCTTTCTTGTAGAAGATGCAGTTATGTCAACAACTGGAGAAACTGAAGAGAGGTTTCTCTTTTCCATTTTAACTTTACATAAATTCACATGCAGTCAAGACCGGCCGTTCTCAGATTGAAAGGAAAAACTGGATAACTCAAGGAAGAGACTTAGGGACAGTAAGATAGGCACAAGTCTTTAGCAGATCAACTCATTAGGTTAAAGTTGAATGCCTTCTAAAGATGCTAAGCAGGCAAAAGTGCATACTTATTTTCAACTAAGGAAAGAAAACAGAGAATATTATTACTTTTTAAAAGCTGCTGTCAAACTGCACTGACCTGTAACATGCAGTAACTTGCTGTTTGAACATCTCCAGTTCTATCAACATAACTCTCCATTAAGTCCACTCCATCTTTAGTAAGGCCTGTAAGCAAAATTCCTTCCAAATTTCCAGCTTCTTTCATTTCATTGGTCAACTTTTCGATGTATCTATTTAACTGGAATATTCAAAATGATTTTTCTAAAGCAATGTTTCACTATATATTTTGTACTTCAAAATACTATGTTTTGAACAATTTCATTCCTAATGGAAAACATTTTAAAACAAAAGGCTTTACTAAAATATACATGTGTAACTAAGAAGTCTGCATCTATTACAAATTTCAAAGCAGTATCTATAATCATTTAAAATATTTTAAAAAGGCATTTACTATGTTGATAATTAATCCAAAAAAGAACTACAGATGGCTTACTATTTTAAAGAGAATTGTCCTGATTATTCTGCAAAGTGTTTGCTGCCTATCATAGTAGTATATAATAGAATCCCAAATTTGAGTTGGAAGGGAACTTCAAGATCATCGAGAATAACCATCTCCTTTAAGTTTTCCCTGACTTTAACCCACCCCAAACAAACTCTAGCCAAGATTCCTCCATATTTCCCCAGAACATTTTCATTATTATAGTATTTAGCACATAGTATTACTAGTTGTTTACATGCAATTCTCCCTCACCATATGCATAGCACAGACATTTAACATTGTTTAATGTATTGAAAATGAGGAACCCTTTTATAGCATCACTGAGATCTACTAACTAATCTTACCCTCCAAAGAAGAAATATACTAAAATATTAAGTCAGTATTCTAAACAAATACATTTAGTTATGGTAAACATTTTCAAAATATTTTTTGAAGATTTACATATCAATATCACACACACATAATTATAAAGACTAGCTTCTTACAATAATTGTGACAATAAATATTAATCACTTCAAATGTAGAACTAAATCAGTTTTCACCTGAGTATCACTAAGGAATTTGCAAGCAAATGCCACTCTGTCACGTACTGCAACTTTGTTTTCATACTGGAAAGAACAGAAAAGGCAAAAAGTTACTTCTAGGTGCACTGAGTTTTAAAGCTTTACAGAGACTAAATGTTTTCTATAAATAAAATGGAATATATGTATTTCCAAATTTATTAATAAGTTATCATATATATCTTGCAGAGCCATTAATTGCCTGAGATGCCTTTCTTGATGTAACTCTCAGAAAACTCAGCAATAAGGTTTTGTCCTTGTAAAGTAAAAATTTACCTTTTAAACACTGATGAAATTCAGTTTTAAAAAGTCTAGGTCAGTCTTATATAACTCCAATATAAAACATAAGCAACGATGTACAGTATATCAAATTTAATATGCCACATAACCATTCCATCAGAGAAATTAATTTTAGAGAACTAAGGAAATCTTTCCTTGGCTACTGAGTTAATCAATAGGTCTAAGAAATTTGTGATTGGCTATACCAGTACACAATTTAGAAGAATACCAATATATGCTTCCAACTACAAAGTGACAAGATTTAAAACATAGACACTCTTGTGGCTAACGTTGTTATACGGGTGGTTTGTAGCAAAGATTTCAGAGGCATTACAATAACTAAAATTTTTGTACACTTGTCAATATCATGAAACACTTGAAATATATTTACTACAAATGTAGAAAGGTACAATTAATTCTGTGATTTGTAAAAATAATTTAAGGGTGGAAAAAGATCCAATTTCCATTGAAGTCATCCTATGAAAGTTTTCCTTTTTTAAACATAAGATCACTTCAGTTGACGCCTATCTTAGCACGTTTTTTCTATGATAAAACACGTTTCTGCCCTAAAGAGAGAACATATTTCATATAACTAGATTTAACTCTTAGGTTTAGTTGCATATGTTACAAAATTTTGATCTGGAAAGGGTTAAAAATATTATCTGTCCCATATTATATCTCAGAGAACTAATACTAAAAAAATTAACTGAATGGCTAAAGTAAATAGGGCAGAGCAAGGAGTCCGGCCTGTATTTTCGGACTTCCCAATTCTGTACTTTCCACATTCTTAACTAACATTTTTTTAACTGAGCAATATTAATTATAATTATTTACACATAAGGTATAACTAAATACATAGTTGAAACAGCTTGGAGATATAAACTTATTACTCAAGATGACTGTTATCTAATAACTTAAATTTATGTATAAGAAAAGAAGGGTACTGGCACTGGGTGCAGTGGCTCACACCTGTAATCCCAGCACTTTGGGAGGCCAAGGCAGGTGGATGATTCAAGGTCAGGAGTTCGAGAACAGAATTGGTATTTTTGGCCAATATGATGAAACCCCATCTCTACTACAAATACAAAAATTAGCTGGCATGGTGGCGCATTCGGGTAGTCCCAGCTACTCAGGAGGCGGGGCACGAGAACTGCTTAAACCCAGGAGATGAAGGTTGCAGTGAGCTGAGATTGCACCACTGTACTCCAGTGTGGGCGACAGCGAGACTCCGTCTCAAAAAAAAAAAAAAAAAAAAAAAAAAAAAAAAAA